TATCTCTTGCACCATCTCAACCCGAACGGAAGCGCCCCCGTGCCTTGACTGGGCGACTAGGGCCCGCGTGACTTGGCACCAGGTAAGGTGATGCCCTCGGGGAGATGCAGTGGACTCGCACGCGCGGCGCCAGGGGCAGCTGATCACCAGCACAGGTGTTTTTGCTGCTGCAAACTCCTGGGCCAGCCGACCTGGCGCGCATCTCCTCCGCGCTGTGCAGGGGACGCAGGAGGTGTCCACCCCGGCTGCCCCGCGCCTCTAAGTGGCCGGCAGGCAGCTCCCGGTTGCAGGGCAGGAAAGCACCACTCCCGCCCCCCTCGGCCCGGCCGACCTGCGGCGGCGGCGGCGGCGGCGGCGCCTGCGGCGGAAGCAGGAACTGGCCAAGCACCCGCAGCTCGCTGCCCGTCGCCCGCCGCCCGCTGCCCGCTGCCCGCTGCTCGCCCCGGACCGCGGCTGCCCAGACGTCCAGGTACACGCGCGTCTGCGTGGCGGCATCGCCCCGTGCATCCCCGCCAGGTTGCCCTTCCTCACCCTACAGCCCAGCTGCAGAGTCCCCGGGACCCGGTGGGGACAGTGGGGTATCTCGGGGGGCGCGGCCGGGGCGCCCGTTGGGGAGCTCCAGCAAGTGGGGGGACAGCTGTCTCGGTGTCACCCATGCTGGGCGTCCTCAGGGGAGGATCCAGAGAGTTTGGGGAGCGGCATGTATTTCCCGACGGGCTCATGCCCCCCCCTACTTCTTCTGTCCTGGTACTTCTCTCCTGTGTTCATCCTCTCTTGGGTTTAGGGGCCACACCCCGCGGTGCTCAGGGGCTGACTCCGGGCCCTGTGCTTAGAGACCACTCTGGCGGTGCTCAGGGAACCATATGGGGTGCTGGGGTTGAACCCGGGTGGGTCGCGGGCCACGCCAGCGCACTGCCCGCTGTGCTCTCTGTTCATTCCTGAACCTGCTAATCCTCCGGCTCTCTGCTATGCATGTGTGTGTTGTGTGTGCCCACCAGCAGCCCCGTAACTTTTCTCTGGGCTTCTGCTCTGAAGGAAAGGATTTCGGACATCTGACCCAGTCAGGTGTGAGGGCCTTATCAGCAGAGAGTCGCAGGTTGTTTGCCCTCCTGCACACCTGCAACCTCTTCCCTGGTTCAGCTGGGACCTTGACGTTGGCACCTTGAAGATCTAACTCTTAGTGCCTCCGACGAATTGCTCCAGGGATAAATGCAGTTTCCCTCTTTCACTGAATCAAATGTTGCAGCGCTCCCCTTGTCCAGGAAGCAGCAACAGGAAAACACAGTTCCCGCCAGCTCCCCAGCTCAGGTTCCTTTGCCAGAGCTTTCGGAAACACTGTCAGAATTCCTTCCATGCAGAGTGTTAACCCTTTGGGGTTTTGCTTTGCTTTGGTTTGGGGGCCTCATCTGCGGGGCTCAGGGTTTACTCCTGGTTCTGAACTCAGGGATCCCTCCTGGCGGGGCTCTGGGAACCATATGGGGTGCCGGGGCATCCAACCAGGCAAAGGCTGTACACACTGTGTCTGTCACTCTGGCTCCCTGACCTTTTGTTTTCATTTGATTTTCTTTAGGACTAGGAAAAAAAAAACCTGCAAATTGTGGCAGTGGTAAAAAGATACCTGTGCTAAATTCGTACCCAGGGGAGCGCAGGCATCCTCAGGACAAAGTCTGAATTTAGCAAGTGTGCTGTTTCACTCACTGAAAGTTTAGCATTTCTTTTAAGAGACAAGTAGGCGGGCTGAGGGATGGGTTTGCTCTGGCCCGAGAGCCCCAGCCGTCTGGATGGCCGGAGTAGCCCCCGAGCACCGTGGGGCGCTGCCCCCAAATGTAGCTGAATAGGAACCAAGTAGGCAAAAGCTACCGTAGTGTAAATTAATTTTAGTCCCAGCTGGATTTTCCTCGCAGAAATCACAGATATTTTTTATAGCATTATTTATTGTGCCTATCTAAAAATGTTTAGTTTCTGAGACTTCAATTTCATGGCAGTTCCTAGGCATTCCCACTTATTATTTAGTAGGTTAGTAAAGAAGTGTATTATCACACAATTGTTTTCATCTTTATTGAAAATGGGATCTGCCTTCTTAGAGTTCTTGTAAAGATGAAATGATAAAGATGGGGAAAGAGCCAGAGTGATAGTACAGTGGGGAGGGCGTTTGCCTTGTACGCAGTCAACCTGGGTTCGATCCCTGGCATCCCAGATGGTCCCCTGAGCAATGCCAGGAATAATTCCTGAGTGTGGAGCCAGGTCATACCCCTGAGTATCACTGGGTGTGATCCGAAGAGCCAAAAAAAAAAAAAACCCATAAAACAAAGATAGGTAAAGACTTTAGCAAGGAAACTAGCATGTAAGAAGCATAAGTATTATATTTTGGGTTCTTTCCCCCACTCCCAGAGTTTTTTTTTTCTTCTCTGGTGTTGGGGACACAGCCAGTAACCCTTAGGGGCTACTTTTTTTTTTTTTTGCTTTTTGGGTCACACCCGGCGATGCACAGGGGTTACTCCTGGCTCTGCACTCAGGAATTACTCCTGGCGGTGCTCAGGGGACCATATGGGATGCTGGGAATCGAACCCTGGTTGGCCGTGTGCAAGGCAAACGCCCTACCCTCTGTGCTATCGCTCCAGCCCAGGGGCTGCTTTTTATATAAAATGCGAGCAGAAAAGGGCATTAGGGCCATTTCCTCCTGGCTGAGTCCCCAGACGCACTTTGTGAGTGTGAACAGATTTCGGATGAAGGTTTCCGGTCTCCTCTAGGGCAGGCTAGGGGACATTCCCAACATTGAAACCAAACCTCACTAGACAAGCTTCCTGGCTTCTAATATTGAATTCAACTCTTTGGGGGAGGGCTGGAAGGAGGTAGGGGTGGGGGGTTATACCTGGTGATGCTCAGGGGGCCATTCAGCACCAGGGATCAAACCCTGGGCCTCCCGAACGCAAAGCCTGTGCCCCAGTCCTTGGCCCTTAATTCAGCTCTTCATTTCTGAAAACGCCCACCCCAGTGTTGTGGAGTTCTGCAGCCTGACCTTCCCTGCACTCCCCCTTCCTCTCCGCCACCTCCCAGCAACTAGTGTTTTGTTTTTGGTTTTCCCTTTCCAGAATGTCATTTAGTTGGAGTGACACTTTTCAGCGTGACTTCTTTCATTCAGCAACATATAAAGTTTCCTCTGCCCCTGTTGTGGTTTGAGAGCTGGATGGTGATAAAGACCTTGTTTTTATTTATTTTCTTATTATTGCAGCGGTTGGCATTGTGACTTTTTTTTTAGGATGGCCAAGAAAAAAATGACAGGGCTGAAGAGCTAGGACAGATGAGAGGGCATTTGCCTTGAGCACAGCTGACCAGAGTTCGAGCCCTGGCACTACGTATGGTCCCCTGAGCATGGCCAGGAGTGATCCCTGAGCACAGAGCCGGGAGTAGGGTCTGAGCATCGCCAAGCAACACCAAACTAGGAATCTGTTGCTAAGCTTCTCTTCAGTAGAGCGTTAGTGCCCTCCCGGCTGCTGGCCTACTCTCTCCAGCTGAGTCCCAGAATTAGACCGTTTGCCAGCCCAGCCTGGGGTTTGCTACTTAAGAGAGGCAGCTGGAAGTAAGGCAATCTTAGGGGCAGAAGGATAGCATGGCAGGGAGGGCGTTTGCCTTGCATGTGGCCGACCTGGATTCAATCTCCAGCATCTCAGATGGTCCCCCAAGCACTGCGAAGACTGATTCCTGAGCATCTTCAGGTGTGACCAAAATAGCCCTCCCCTGCCGGCAAAAAATAAATAAATAAATAAATAAATAAGCTGTTTCACTTCTTTTTTTTTTTTAATGAAATAGAGAAAGAAAAGCTTTTTTTGTTTTTGGGGGGCCATACCTGGTATGCTCAGGGCTTACCCCTGGCTCCATGTTTAGGTATCACTCCTGGCAGTGCTTGGGGGACCATATGGGATTGAGCCCTGGTTGGCCTCATGCAAGGCAAGTGCCCTCCCTGCTGGACTTCACTCTGGCCTGTAGCACCTGAATTTTTTTTTATTTTTGGCTTTTTGGGTCACACCTGGCAAAGCACAGGGGTTACTCCTGGCTCTGCACTCAGGAATCACCCCTGGCAGTGCTCAGGGGACCATATGGGATGCTGGGAATCGAACCCGGGTTGGTCGCATGCAAGACAAAGGCCCTATCCACTGTGCTATTGCTCAAACCCCTGTAGCATCTGATTTAACTCAGTCTTCTACCCCATTTGCTAATTTGGAGGGGAGGGGACGGGCTGGTTTGAGGTTGGTTAGACCATACCTGGCCGTGCTCAGGGCCCGTATGTGGTGTCAGGGACTCCAACTAGGGTTTCTACCATGACTTGTGCCTCATCTCCTGTTCAATCTTTCTGGAGCCAATTCGCCAAGTTTTTCTTGGAAGTTTGTCTCAAATCTACTCAAATTGAAGCCCAAAGAATTAGGGAAATTTGTTTCTTTCTGCCCTAAAAACTGCATTGTTTAGGGGGCTGGAGTGATAGCACAGCGTGTAGGGTGTTTGCCTTGCACGCGGTCGACCTGGGTTCAATTCCCAGCATCCCATATGGTCCCCTAAGCACCGTCAGGGGTAATTCCTGAGCGCAGAGCCAGGAGTTAACTCCTGTGCATTACCAGGACCCAAAAGGAAAAAAAAAATTGTGCGTTGTTTATATCAACTTGAAGGACATGAAATATCTTATTCCCTAATTTGTTAAACAAAACTCAGGGGTCCGGGGCTGTAACTCAGTGGTAGAGTATATACTTGCCCATGTGTGCGTGTGTGTGCGTGCTTGTGTGTGTGTGTGGGGGGGTGGGTGTATGGATCTTATCCCAGGCACTGCAGGGAAAAAAAGAAAGGTAGCAGTACCACTCACAGCCAGTTCTTTATTGTTGTCCTGCAGTGTCCTGCCTCTGCACAATTGTCCTGAAGCAAAGGCAGACCCTGTGGAGGAGGAGGGAGGAAGAGGAGGAGGAGGAAGTGGAGGTGGAGGAGGAGAAGGAGGATCATTCCTGACCTGTGAAGACGAAGACTCCTTGGACCTTAGAATGTGCCTGTGCAGTGCCAGGCGCCGGGCCTGCACTGTCCTCCTGGTCTGTTTCCTGACCCTGAGGCCGGCCGCCGGCCTGCAGTGCCTCAGCCAGAGCCTGGAGGACGTGGTCATCGACATCCAGTCCTCGCTGGCCAGGGGCGTCAGGGGCAGCGAGCCCACACACACTCCAGGCCCCCAGGAGTGCATCGCCTCCTGTTGTTCGACGAGAAACATCTCAGGTGAGTCACGGCATGGGGGGACCTTTCACCTGGGGTGTCCCCTCCCTCCACTCCTCTGGGCTTGCTTTGGGATACTTGGAGGCTCCTTTCATATCTGTGCTCGTGGGTCGCTCCCAGCTTGGGGTGCCGGGAAGGAACTATGGGCCTCACACGTGCAGAGCGAGACATTTCTCGACTCCCCCTTCACCTGCTTGTTTAGATGACCAGCCCCCCCCCCCCCCCACACACACACACACTGTGGCCACTCTCTCAAGTTGGGCCTCATGCACATTCTGGTTTGACCCTGGCCAGGGGTGGCTATGGCGGTCACATGGGTTCTCAGCAGGGGCCGCCCCAGATTCGTCATTGTAAGGTTTGTGGGGGGGGGCACCGTAGCTGAAGTGCTCACACACACACACACACACACACACACACACATCTGGCTGTGGTGGTCTGGAGACTATTGCTGCACTAGAGGTACCAGAGGGCCCAGGGATACACTTGAAGCATGTGGGAAGCCCCAGGGATCCGACTCAAGGCCTCACGCTTGCTCGCTGAATTTTCTCTTGAGCATTTAGGCATTTTTTTTTTTAATATAAGGAGCTGGGGAGCTGGAGAGGTAGGTAGGGGTAGGGTTCTCCAGCCCATATGACCCCTGGGCACTGCCAGGAGGAGTTCCTGAGCATTTGCCAGATGTGGCTGCCAAACCAAAAAATAAAATCATAAGGAGCTGCGATTGGTGTGGCTAAAAAATTCTTATAAGTGACTCTCAAGAGGACGAAAAAAAAAAGTGGGGTGAAAAAATTCATGGGGAATGTTCCATACTTGTCCTCTCCTGTCCCTAAAGTGAAGTCAGAGTCACTGGTGTGTGTGTGTGTGTGTGTGTGTGTTTTTCTGTGTGTGTGTCTGTCTGTATGTGTGTCTGTGTGTGTGTCTGTCTCTGTGTGTGTTTGTGTTTGTGTGTGTGTTTGTCTGTGTGTGTGTGTTTGTGTGTGTGCGTTTGTGTGTGTCTGTGTGTCTGTCTCTGTGTGTGTATCTGTCTGTCTTTGTGTGTCTGTCTCTATGTGTGTGCGTTTGTGTGTGTGTGTGTGTTTGTATGTATTACCAGGTGTCTGGGGAGAGGAAGGTGGAGAAGCGCCGGGGTAACTCACACTGGGCAAGCGTCTGGGATGCTGGAACAAAAACTCCTTCCCATGCTCTCCTGCCATCAAACAGGCCGCTAAAATATTGAGTGATTTTCTCCTGAGTTTTGTCTCTGAGGAAAATCAGCATACATGCTTGTCTTGGAGATGAAACCCAACAGGAAATCAGACGGCGCCAAGCCTTGGGGCTTATGTTTCGCCTGCCAGAACCAGATGTGTCCCCAAAATAAAAGATTTCAAAGAATGGAAATTGGCGTTGGAATATGGGGAGGCATTCAGGGCTTACTCCTGGCACAGTGCTCAGGGATCACTCCTCCTGGCAGTGCTCAGGAGACCATATGTGGTACTGGGGATCAAATCAGGGTTAGTTGTACACAAGGCAGGGGATTTAACCTCTGTATTATCACTCCAGCCCTAACATTTGATTTTTTCATTACTGTTGTTTTGGGGGCCAGATCCTCAGGGGTTCCTCCTGGCCTGTGCTTCAGGGATCACTCCTGACTGGCTCGGGGGACCATATGGGATGTCGAGGATCGAACCCAGTTGGCTGCATGCAAGGCAAACACTCTACCCGCTGTGCTATATTGTTCAGACCCTAACATTTGGGTTTTGAAATTGCAAGTCCCCTTCCCCACAGTGACGTAAGTCAGGTCAGCAAGTGACAGGCGTCTGGGGCACAGTATGTCCGACTGAAGGGCAGGGACGGAGGGGTCATCTGGCAATGCAGGGGATACGACTGCAGGTCTGAGCCATGTCTCTGAATATTCCAGATGCTGACACTTTTGAGTGAAAGAAGTCTAGCAAGGGCTGGAGAGACAGGAGTTACATTTCCTTATGTCCACTGGTTCAAATTCCCAGCACCACAGAGGATTCTCCAGCACAGGTGTCACTGAGCACAGAGCTAGGAATAGACCTTGAGCACTTCCATCTATGAGGGGAGGGGGAGGTGAGGGAGAGAGAGAGAAGAAGAAGAAGGAGAAGAAGGAGAAGGAGAAGGAGAAGGAGGAGAAGAAGGAGAAGAAGGAGGAGAAGGAGAAGGAGAAGGAGAAGAAGGAGAAGGAGAAGAAGGAGAAGAAGGAGAAGAAGGAGGAGAAGGAGAAGGAGAAGGAGAAGAAGGAGAAGGAGAAGGAGGAGAAGAAGGAGGAGAAGGAGGAGAAGGAGAAGGAGAGGAAGAAGAAGAAGAAGAAGAAAGAAGAAAGAAGAAAGAAGAAAGAAGAGAGGAGAGTGAGCCCCGTGAATTAATTACCGTTTTTCAGTTGTCACCTGGTCCTCAGTCTCAAGCTGAGAAGCAAATGCCTAACTATGGAGAATTCATGCCTTGCTGGGGGCTGGTGCAATCCATCCATAATCAGGCAAGGGGTCAGCCTCCCATCAGCACCTAGAGGAGGTAGCAGTGGGGGCTGGGGGTCTCGCTTCAATCACGAGCCCGCCATGCAGTATGACCTCTGTGAAGGTTGGAGAGAGAGAGAGAGAGAGAGAGAGAGAGAGAGAGAGAGCGAGAGCTCGGAGGGTGCATAGAGGAAGCCTGCTTTCATTCCTCACACCCCACAGACCCTGAGCACCACCAGAAGCGACCCCCAAGCACCTTGCTGGAAGTAGCCTCTGAGCACCCCTGGACCACTGGGTGTGTCCTGACTGACCTCCACCCCTCGTAATGCCCCCCAAAAGAGCAAGTCTCATTGCAGCTGCTTCAGCCTCAGCAAACAGAAGACCTCTCCCTAAAGGATCACCTGCACTGTCTTTAAAACTCCCTCTCGGGGAGACTGGAGTGATAGCAGAGTGGGTAGGGTATTTGCCTTGCACGTGGCCAACCGGGGTTCGATTCCCAGAATACCATATGGTCCCCGAGCACAGACAGTAGTAATTTCTGACTGCATGAGCCAGGAGTAACCCCTGTGCAATGCCAGGTGTGACACAAAAACAACAACAAAAAAAAAAATCCCTCTCAGGGCCAGAGTTTAGTACAGCGGGGAGTGCATCTCCCTTGCATGTGGCTGACCTGGGTTCGATCCTCGGCATCCCACATGGTCCCCTGAGCACTGAGAAAAAAACAAAAACTCCTTCCCATGCCAGGAGTAACCCCTAAACCTCAGGTATGGCCAAGAAACAAAACCAAAATCAAATAATCCTTGCTGCCCAGATTACCATCATTCCAGTTTTTGAACGCATGTCTTTTATTATTATTACTATTATTATTATTATTGTTATTATTTTGTTTTCTGGGTCACACCCGGTGATGCACAGGGGTTACTCCTGGCTCTGCACTCATGAATTACCCCTGGTGATGCTTGGGAGACCATATGGGATGCTGGGAATTGAATCCGGGTTGGCTGCATGCAAGGCAAACGCCCTACCTGCTGTGCTATCGCTCCAGCCCCAACACGTGTTTTTTTTAATTGCCTCATGTGACCAAATTAAAAGAGAGGAGATGACTTGGAGGGCACTGAGCCAGCAGAGGCCGCGCACTGGGCACCAGGACCCATGTCGCCCTTTCTGGTCCCTGTTTCCTTTAGAAATTGCATTTCAGGGTGACACTTACGAAATATTTCCTTGCAGGGGACAAAGCGTGTAACTTGATGATCTTCGACACTCGGAAAACCATCAACCAGCCTAACTGCTACCTGTTTTTCTGTCCCAGTGAGGACGCCTGTCCACTGAAACCAGCGAAGGGACTTAGGAGTTACAGGGTAATCACAGGTAACACAATCACACCCTTTTTACTTTTGATGGAGGTAAAGGAGGAGAACACCAGCTGGGGAGTCTCAGTGAAGCTCCCGGAGAGAACAAATATGATACACCAGAAAAATCCCATAAAGCCTGATGTACAGGTTGAGGGGTATGACAGATGGTTAGAGCACGCACTTCACTTTTTTTTTGGGGGGGGGAAGAGGTGCTGGAGGAGGAGTTTGGTTTGGGCCACACCTAGCGGTTCTCAGGACTTAGTCCCTGGCTCTGCACTCAGGGAGCGCTGTTGGCAGGCTCGAGGGACCATATGTGGTGCCAGGGATTGAACCCGGGTTGGCTGCACAGTGCATGCAAGGCAAGAGCTTTACCCACTGTACTATTGCTCCGCCCCCCACATGCCTCACTTCTGAGAGACCCCAGGTCTGATCCCCAGTACTGCGTGCCACCCCACCCATCCCACCATTGCACACACATGTCAGTAGCACCAGGTGTGGGTTCTCGGAGAATCTTGGGCAGAGAGAGCCTGAAACTTGGATCAGCCACAAGCAAGGCAGATGGCCTATCATCTCCCCCAGTTGGGAGACCCCAAAATAAATAAATTTACTGCATTAAGGACTGGAGGTTGGGCTGGAGCAATAGCATATTGGGTAGGGCATTTGCCTTGGATGTGGCTGACCTGGTCAAGCCGGGTTCAATTCCTCTGCCCCTCTCGGAGAGCCCAGCAAGCTACCAAGAGTATCTTGTCCGCACAGCAAAGCCTGGCAAGCTCCCTGTGACGTATTCGATATGCCAAACACAGTAACAACAAGTCTCACAATTTGTTGTGAGATGTTACTGGTGCCCACTCGAGCAAATTGATGAATAACAGGAGGACGGTGCAGTGCAGTGCAGGGACTGGAGGTTAAGTGATTAAGACACTTGCCCTGCATGTGGCCAACCCCCTTTTGATCCTTGGTACCACCTATGGTCCTGCAAGCCTGTGAGGAGTGATCCCTGAGCACTGTGCCCAGAGTAAGCCCTGAGCCCTGCCAGGGCTGGCCCAACCTTCGCCCGTGCACAAATCAATGAATGAAATGTCAAACTTTCCTTTTACTGTGACAGACTCGAGTGAGGGTACTTTGGTTTAGCCTTTCTATTAGAAAGTGCCCACACACCTTCCATGGAAAGGGTTTTGGTCCCTTTCCCTTTGCTATCGCTGCTGTGACTGGGGTGACCCTCTTCCAGCTGGGGTGCTGGCTCTCACCTGCAGTGCTGTGACCGACCACAGACACACACTTCGTGGTGGCTCTGGGGGTCCTGGAAGCCTGTGGCTCTGCAGTGGTCACACTCGGTGCTGAGGGGGTGTTGCCAAGGTCCAAGGCAACCTGATGCCCTGCCCCAAGCCACCCCAGACCCAGGAAAGCCTCTTGAGAGCCGCATCAGCAAGACTGGGATAAGGGCCCAGGGTTCCAGGGTGACAGAGAGAGAGAGAGAGGAGGGGGAGGAAGGGAGGGAGGGAGCAAAAGGAAGGATGGGAGAGAGGGAGGGAGGGAGAGTCAGAGAGAGAGAGAACTGTTCACCCCTAAAACCCATACTAGAGAAACAGCCCCCAAACCAGAAGAAGCTATAGGGTGAAGCTGTTTATTCTATAGTTTAAAAAGTGAAAAACCAGAGCCAGCGTGATAGCACAGCAAGTAGGGTGTTTGCCTTGCACGTGGCTGACCCAGGTTCAATCCCCAGCATAACACAGGGGCCCTCAAGACCAGCGTGAGTGATCCCCGGGCAAAGAGCCGGGACTTAGCCTCTGCACCACTGGGATCGGCTCAAAATCAAACAGAAAGTGAAAATCATGGGGCCAGGGAGATCACTCAGAGGGCCAGAGTGTGGGCATGGCAGGTGGGCACCCTGTTTCGAGTTCTGGCGCCATACACCCTCCCTGGCATTGATGGGTATAACCGAGGTGACCCCCAGCACTGTGGCGAGCATCCTGCCCCCACTAAAATAAAATGAGCAGTGATGGGGCTGGAGAGATAGCACGGGGTGTGAAGGCTGTTGCCTTTCATGAAGTTGGTTCTGTTTGATCCCTGGCACCACACAAGTCGCCTGAACACCGTGAGGAGTGAACCCTGAGCACAGAGAAAGGAGTCAGCCCCGAACCCTACTGGGTATGGCTCAGCCCCCTGCCCCGAAGTAATATATATATTTGCTTTTTGGGTCACACCCAGTGATACACAAGGGTTACTCTTGGCTCATGCACTCAAGAATCATTCCTGGCGGTGCTTGGGGGACCATATGGGATACTGGGAATCGAACCCGGGCCGGCCGCATGCAAGGCAAATGCCCTACCCGCTGTGCTATCACTGAGTGTCTAAGTGGCTGGGAGGCAAAAATCTGTTGGATCCACCTAAGAGAAATGGAAATATAAATATAAATTTATATGCAGAAATGGAAATATAAATTTGAGATGCAGAAATAAATTTAAACTTCCGGAGAAAATCTCTCTCTTTTTTCAGTGATGTGAGAAAACAAACATGTCAACTTTACACTCCACAGGGAATGTCCACCATTGATGGGACACGGGTAGGCATTTGTAGTTGAATTTGTTTTTCAGTGAAAATTCTCTAGAATGGTATGTAAACTGTTCAGAGTGAAGATACCTCTGCAGTGTTATTGCTGTTATAATGCAAGTGTCAAAGGGTGATAGAGTCTCTCCAGTAGAAGTGAGAGAAAGCAGAACTTGGCATCTGCCTGAACCTTTTCCTGAAGAAAATAGAGATTAAAATTAGGCAGTTCCTGCAACAACCAGCAGGGGGAGCCGTCAGCTCAGAGCGGCAGGGACTTAACTGCTATTCAACCATTTGTCCGTGTATCTGACTGGTGATTTCCCTATAAAGATAAGTCCCCCGCCTCCTGTTTTCTATGACATCAAAAAGGTTATCAGTCCCGTGGTTTGCTTCAAGGAATATCCACTTCCTATCACTGACTGATAATATTTACAGAACCAAAAGTGTCCAACAGGACATGTACACTTCATGCCATCAAACCATATATCTTGGCACTACTTTTCTTTCCTTTTTTTTTTTTACTTATTTATTTGATCACTTGATCACTTGACTTCCCGGTAATCGGCGATTTGCTCGAGCGGGCGCCAGTAACGTCTTCATCCGTCCCTGTCACATGCTAGCGTAGCCCAATGGCGTCTGTTCTTCTAGGAACACGAAGAGCCTCAAACCGATGGTTCAGGATCTTGATGAAGAAGTCTGACCATCTGGTAGGTGGGTGGCCACACAGTCTTTTGACATACTGTGGAATCCACTCGATAACGGCTCTAGTCCAGTGGTCATCTCTAAATCTCATTACATGACCAGCCCATCTGATTTTTGATGCCTTGGCAAACGAGACAGCGTCCCTGATTCTTGATCGTCGACGGAGGTCAAAACTCCAGATTCTTTCTCTCACTTATTTATTTATTTATTTATTTTCACTTTTCTTTCTTGCTTGCTTCTTGCAACTTGGTGGCATGTCACGCTACCGGGGACTGGAATAGAGGAATTCAGAAGTACAGTAAGAGCCAGAGAGATAGTCCAGCAGGGAGGGCGCTTGCCTTGGATGCTGCTGACCTGGGTTTGATCCCTGGCATCTCATATGGTCCCCCGAGCACCAGCAGGAGTAATTCCTGAATGCAGAGCCAGGAGAGAAGCCTGGCTCTGTGCCAGGTGCTCTGGGTGTGCCCCCCCCCATCCTCCCCTCTGCAAAAAAAAAAAAATAGAGTAACTTAACTTGGGAGTCTGGTTTTTAATTAAGTAAGAGTCAGTCCCTCTGTCTTTTACTTATGAAGCCACTCTGAAGTGTAACTGCGAGCAGGCTTGCAGGCCCAAGGCTGACACCCAGCCCCCTCTGAGGCTCCCTTCCGTGTGACCCAGAGAAAGCACCGCACCCCAATGACAAACAGCAGGGGTGGGGTAGAGCAGCAGGTGTGGCGAATTCCTGTCTGTTTTGGCACCTTTGCCAACAGCAGAAAAGACCTGTTGGGGGTTGGGGCTGAAGGTCAGTGGTAGAGTGAGGCCTGAATCGCCCCCGTCCCCCACCCCTGCCGCCAAAAACAAGGAAAACATGCGCTGGGTAGATGGATGAAAGGGCTGGAGTGGGTGGGAGCACAGGCTTAGTGGTGGGAGCATGAGTTTTGTGGGTCCCACGTCTGATCCTGAGCATCACCAGGGGTTGTGACCCCCGAGCACTGAGCTGGGAGTAACCCTTGGCTCTAGGGTGGTGGCCTTGAAAGCAGGGGCTGGGGTACATGCTTTGCATGCAGGAGGCCTGGGTTCACTCCCCAGTATTGTAAGGTGACCCCAGAGCACTACTGGAAGGGACCTCTGAGCAGTTGGCCCTGTCTGTAGCACTGTCCTCCTTTGTTCATCGATTTGCTCGAGCGTTTTCCCAGCGTGTCTCCGTTCCAGTGGCATGTGCAGGATGACCCGACACCACCCGCGGGGACAGGCGTGTTTGTGCCTTCGCTCAGTTCTCCTTCTCTTCCTGTTGTGTCTGCAGAGTCTTTGTCTCCTCCAGCCGGACCCAAGTTGTCCAGCCCCGGCCAGTGGGACCAGGCAGCCCCCTCCTCGCCCCCAATCCCGAGGGGCTCCTTGAAGCCCACCGATGTCCTCAGGGAAGATGTGCGGTCCCAGACATCAGGGACCTCCGGTCACTTGGAGAAGCTGCTCCCGAGAGGCCCGGCCAGCCCGGGGATCCTGGGACAGGAGGGCGAAGCCCGTCCCGCAAGTTCACATTTTCCCCCGGAGTCAACTACGATGCCGCTGGGGCCTGAAAATGGTGCCGTGCTCTCCACGCCAGTGGCCACGGCTTCTGGGAGGCCTCCCACCTCTGCCTCTCGGCATCCGGTAGCTCCCGGGACTCCTTCTGTGACTCAGTCACAGGCGGCCACTGCAGCTGGACCTGTGACCACAGTCCCCACTCAGCCCCCCACCAGCATCCAGGCCACTGTCTGGACAGGAGCTGTGACATCGCCCCCAGCCAGCCCGACAATGACAACAGTGACAAGAGGGACAGGGACGAGAGGGACTGGGGTGACAGCCACTTCTCAGGAAACGACAGGACTGCAGGGTGCCCCCCACGTGCCGCCCCTCCCGGGAACCTCCAGCCTACCTTGGAGCTCAGACGCCACCCATGAGGCTATGACGCTCCCTCCATCCAGTGTGGACTCTGCCCCTGTGAGCGAAACCTCTTCCTGGAACGCCGGGCAGCGTCTGGGTGCTGCCTCCCTGGACCGTGGCCCCGACGGGCACTACGGCCTCCCGTTTGATAAGTGGCTTCTCGTGGGCAGCCTGGTTTTGGGGGTCCTCTTCCTGACCATTGGCCTCGTGCTCATGGGGAGAAAGTTCTTAGAGTCCCTCCACAGGAAACGCTACTCGAGACTGGACTATTTGATCAACGGGATCTACGTGGACATCTAGGTGGCTCTGGTTGGCTCCAGAATAATTAGCCCCTAGCACCCCAGCACCAAACTCCTGCGGAGCCACCAGTGGTTGCAGAACCAGCCTTTGAAGTGTTTGAATAACAAGCAAGGATGTCCCCTCTTTTGATTGTTCGCCACTTTCTTACAGTCCGGTTCCTGAGGAGGAGGGAACACATAGGGAATTTAAATGATTCATCTCCAACATCTCTGCTGAGAACAAAGTTCTGCCGGGACCAATCAAGTATAATTGCTGCTATGAACCAAAAAAACCAGCGACCCCGAAAGATGTGCGCACTTTCAGGCCTCAGCCCGTTAACATTCTGGCTCCAGAGGAAAGTCCACTGGTTCTGACATTAGTTCCAATAGATTCACTTTCCCTTTTATATGAATTCCAATAAAACCAATTCCAGATGTGTTTCCTTCCAATTAAATATTTGAATAAATCTTTTGTTAATATAATGTTCTTGTAAATGGCATGTCGGACTAGATAACTTTCCATTTCTCCTCACCAGCACAATGATGAAATGATGAAAATATGTCTTCTCAGATCAATGACACTCCCTCTGCACATTTCCTGTCCATGAGCAAAGAAGTTCCTTGGGGAGAATTCTAGAGAATCGTCAGCGTACGTGAAGCAATCATCAGTTCTGAGAAAGGGCCAAATCTGCTTTGGATCTGTTGTCCATAGCTCTTTAGAAGGGCACAGGGGGAAAGTAATATAGATATATTTCTTAAACTTTAAGTTAAAAATGCAACAGTGTTATTTTAAAATCCTTATGTGTTCTTGCCCAAAGGTCAATGTTAACTTTATTTTGGATACTATTACCAATAATATAGCACTGTAGCACTGTCCTCTCCTTGTTCATTTGCTGAGCAGGCACCAGTAACGTCTCCATTGTGAGACTTGTTGTTACTGTTTTTGGCATATCGAATACATCAGGAGTAGCTTGCCAGGCTCTGCCATGCAGGTGGGATACTCTAGGTAGCTTGTCAGGCTCTCTGAGAGGGACGGAAGAATCAAACCTGGGTCAGTCACATGCAAGGCAAATGCCCTATCCACTGTGCTATTTCTCCAGCCCACCAATAATATATGGTACCTCACTGTAACAGTCCTCCCGTTGTTCATCGATTTGCTCGAGCGGGCCCAGTAACGTCTCCATTGTGACACTTGTTGTTACTGTGTTTGGCATATCGAATACATCACGGGTAGCTTGCCAGGCTTTGCCGTGTGGGTGAGATACTCTCGGTAGCTTGCTGGGCTCTCCGAGAGGAGCGGAGGATTCGAACTCGGGTCAGCTATGTTGGCTGCGTGCAAGGCAAACGCCCTACCCGCTGTGCTGTCGCTCCAGTCCGTGTGGTACTTAAATATTTTATTAAATCAATAAATTGTAGGGGCCTGATAGATAGTATATGAAGTGAGGTTCTTGCCTTGCATGCCTTCAACTCCAGTTCAATCCCCAACCCCACATATGGTCCCCGGAGCATGGCCCCCTAAAGAACGATGACCAAACATTAGGGTACTCTAACTTTTATGATTCAAATTTCCTGAGAAATGCTCTTAATGAGTTGCAGAGAGATGAGGAAGAACCCAGAGTGCTACTTGGATCTCTTCGGCACCAGCCTGCACTTGACTTATCCATAAAAATTGAAGTCTGGGATCTTTCTAAATGTCTCCAGGACTTAAAACGGGAATTGGGGCATGCACTTGCAGACTATGAACACTGGAGGGCAGTAGCGGGCTAGCAAGTTTAGCAAGGACGTTGACCTAGAAGAAATCACAAAGCAATGAAGGCTTTTCTCTTTCCTCCTCCGTCCTTCCTCCTCGTCCTCTCTCCTGGGACACCCCCCACTCCACCCATACCGCGTCCACCTCCCCCACTTGATGCTGGACTCATAAAGCTCATTAAGAGGAAATCTGGGGTGATTGAGAATATCACTCTTCATATATTTTCCTACTTAGCAGCAGGAGACAAATCTCCGTGGGCTTTACATAAGCTCCAAGAAGGTTGAGTCAATAAAACCTCGATTCAGTTGAATTTAACAAGTATTTATTGAATATCCACATGGAGGCCAGAATCAGATTAGTAACCAAGTGCCCTGGAATTTTAAGATTTCGCCTCATTGTTAGAGGAGAAACAAGGCTTCTGGGAGGTGGCTAGAAGCCTGGTGCTGGGTGCCCGGAAGCAGCACATCTACCTGGTGCTGGGACCCTGGGAACGGAGACACCTGGTGGGCTGCAGGGGCCGGAGGCAGAGGCAGGAGTGGGTATCCGCCTGGGGCTGGGCAGGGGTGCAGCTGGGCCCACCAGGGAGAGACGCTCCTGCCCCAGCTCTCCACCCCCCACCCTTTTCCCAGGGAGAGGGTCACAGGGTTACAGGGAGGGGGCGATGCCTGCATGAGCTTTCATGAGAATCGGACAAAGTGAACTGAATTACGAACCCGTTCGCTTACCACATCAAATCACGTAATTGTAGCACTGTAGCACTGTCCTCCCGTTGTTCATCGATTTATAACGTCTCCATGGTGAGACTTGTTACTGTGTTTGGCATATCGGATATGCCACGGGGAGCTTGCCAGGCTCTGTCATGCGGGCAGGATACTCTCGGTAGCTGGTTAGGCTCTCTGAGAGGGCATCACATAATTCGTGCAGATTTGATGTTTTTCTTCCACCTTCCTTTGTACAAAATAGTGGGATATGACTGTAATGTGAACATTTCTTTTCTCCCATTGTGCCATAGGGCTGGAGAGACTGGATAGGGGTTAAGGCACTTGAATTGCATGTGGTGAACCCAGGTTCGAGTCCCAGCACCGCTGGGGATCAACTCCTAAGAACAGAGCTGGGAGTACGTAGATGTGACCCAAAGCAGATCTGGAATACCTGAATAGACCTATTAATATCAAAGAAATTGAAATTGTAATCAAAAGTCTTCCCAAAAACAAAAGCCCACGTCCAGATGGATTCACTAGCGAATTCTTCCAAACATTTAAAAAGGACCCATTGCCACTTCTTCTCAAGCTTTTCCAGGAAATTGAAGAAACAGAAACTCTCCCAAACAGTTTCTATGAGCCATATATCTCCCTAATACCAAAAGCAAACAAAGACACCACAAAAAAAAAAGGAAAGAAAACTACAGGCAGATATCCCTGATGAATACGGATGCAAATATCCTCAACAAAATATTAGCAAATAGAATGCAACAACTCATTAAAAAGATCATATACCACGACCAAGTGGGATCCATCCTGGGGATGCAAGGATGGTTTAACATTGGGAAATCAATCAACATAATCCATCATATTAACAAAAGAAAAGATAAAAACCATATGATCATATCAACAGATGCAGAGAAAGCATTTGACAAGATTCAGCACCCGTTTATGATGAAAACTCTCACCAAAATGGGCTTTGAACGAACTTTCCTCAATATAGTCAAAGCCATCTACCACAAACCTATAGCCAGCATTATCCTCAATGGGGAAAAACTAAGAGCCTTCCCTCTAAGATCAGGGACAAGACAAGGATGCCCACTCTCACCACTTCTGATGGCATTACTTAAATGCAGGGTGCAAAGATGATGCATTGGTCATGCTTGTGTGCTGAAATACAGTAATAGTCTGATTATTCTGAATATGCGGTGAAATACGGTAATAGCCAGGAGGCTAGGAAGGTCCTCCTGTTCCCTTCTTCCTTCGAGTCACAGGACACTCAACTCCAGCTTGAATACAGCTTCATTCTTGCGTCCCCTCAGCCCTGCCCCTCCTGAGGTGTCTGTGAAACTCCTGGCTCCAGACTGTGGCAGGAGGTCAGTGCTCCCCGACCAGATCAGCCTGCCCCTTGCACTTCGGCCTCCTTCAACTGGGCAGGAAGGGCTGACTTCCTTCCTAGCCCTGCTGCTGCAGTGAAGGATGGAGCTCTGACCCAGTTCTAGCTGGAAGAAAATCTACTGGGGCTTCTCAGGAAGCCCCATGCCCCTCCCATGAACAGAGCTGCACAAGCCTCCATCTCTGTATTTCCTGCTTGGGGTGCTGACCAAGTATGGCCTTTCTGCCTGGAGCTCTTGCAGCCTTTCTGTCGCCATGAGGAAAGATAGCCCAAAGCTACCGCACAAGGTAGAGTAGAATGAAGCGTCTGGTCCCTGAGGACGTGATGGAGCCATGGTACTTGCCTCCGGAACTGTCCACTTCAGTCTTGCCCTGTGGGCATCACTACCACATGTCCCACTGGGCCACCACTTGTTGATGACAGCAAACACTTCTGTGTGACTCACACCCTATGCTAGGCACATACTACATACTCAAATTCATTTTATATGGCATATTCTTTTTTTGTTGTTTTTTGGGTTACGCCCAGTGAGGCTCAATGATCACTCCTGATTCTGCATTCAGGAATTAATGCTGGCAGTGCTTGGGAGACCATATGGGATGCCAGGGCTCAAACCCAGGTCAATCACATACAAAGCAAAGGCCCTCGCCACTGTACTAGTGCTCCAGCCCCAATATATGACATATTCTAGTATGTCACTGCCTTGTGGCCACCGCCTGATGGGTGCTTAGCTTTATTTGGCCATGAGAAGACCAGACTCTCCCACTCGTTAGAGGTCACATGGCCAGGTAATAGTTAGCCTGTAACTCAGTTGCCTGAAAGACCACCAAAGAGCTGACTCCGATGCAAGCACGAGAGGGTACTTCGAGCTAAGACTAGCCTGAGCTAGGGCCCCTGTCCAGCTCACCAACAGGGCAGCTTCCTTGGAGCAAGTGGCCCCGAGTCACAAAAACCCAGGGTTTTTATAGCAGCATTACATAGTAGTGGGTGTGTGTGTGGGGGGGGGGGGGGAGGATGGGGGCTACTTTCTACTGGCAACAACCTAGGGGACTTTCCATTAGCTGATAACTTCTGACTGGGTGTGGGCTGGGGTCAGCTTCTCAGCTGCTGGCCTCGTCACTTAATTTCAGGGAAACTGCAACTTAAGTTTTGGCAACCAAAACTTAGGCTTAGTCAGGCCAAGTTCTTCACTGAGCCTGTCATGGCATGGCGTTGGCCTCTCTTTCTCTCTCTCTCTCTCTCTCTCTATCAAAGTGGCTCTGGAAGTCCTAGTACTATTTAAAAAATTTCTTTGAATTGAATCACCAAGAGACACAATGTTACAATGTTGTTCACAATTTGCATTTCAGTCCTCCAGTGTGCTGGCACCCATCCCTTCACCAGGGTCCACTTCCCTCGACCCATCTCCCCAGTTTCCCTCCGGCCCCCAAGCCTGCCTCTGTAGCAAACCTTTTTCTCTTATCTCTTTTCCTTTCAAGCATTGTGGTTTGCGGTAGTGTTACTGATGGGTTATCATGCATATCGCTTTACCTCCTTTCAGCATCCAGTTCTTGTCCGCAGTGATCACTTCTCCTTA